CACATTTGGAGAAGTATCAAATTTTAGTTTGTAAAGTTTATTTTTCCTCTAGTGTTGGTGGAATTTAATTATCATTCACTGGTGTTGTTTTTTCGTTTAAAAAGTTTGTCATTTAGAATTATTGTAGTCAATCTCGTTTGTGTAAACCAAAAAAAAAAAGAATATAATAGTCAATCTCATTTGTCCATACCAATAAAAAAAAATAATTAATCTCAATTGATAATATGACTATAATGTTGTGGTATAATGATAGTTTTGCACAAACAATGATTAAAATTAAAATTTTAAATTTCTAAATTTATAGCATTTATTTTGTAACGACCCGCCCTGGCCATTACACTGTGGAATAACACAACACCTTGCTGAAATATATACTAAAATAGTATAATAAGAATATTTACAACACAAGTTGCTAAAAAAGCAAAAAAAAAAATTCAATTATACACAACCAAGTATGCTACTATAAGGTAGCCCACAAAAGAAATATTCACTCCACGCACCTCCTGTGGCCTCTAACAATTATCTCCCAGCCTATCCCTACCCTGTTCCCATACATCGTATGATTATCGCAGTCCAAACCATATGAAAACATGCAAGGGTAAACTAGAGAAAATAAAGAACTCATAATAATTAAATATGCAACACAATAACTGTATAATCATCTTCATATCCAACACAAGTAACAAACAACACATATACCACACATCTCAACATCATTTCAGCTTAATTCCAATACATTAAACGCTGATCAACACATTATCAACACATATGTTTAAAACATGTAACAGAAACCACTATACAACTCATCATAATAGTCACCATATTCAGCACAACAACGAATAACACATGTATTACATACCTCTCAACAACTCATATTTAACAACTTACAACATAGGTAATCTAGCAACGCTATCAACATCATCATACTTGTTCAACATACAACGCATAATACTAAAACATGAATTTAAAAGCAAATTACAACACAATGTCACTACCAACAATAACTGTTCATTCATCATGCAACACACAACACATAGACAACATACATCTTAATAGCACCTTCACAACACATCAACTCATACAACTCATGGTTCGGACTCGACCTTGACATAACAAGGTTCGTACTCGATCTTGGTTAAGAAAATGCAATCTCAAGGTTCGGACCCGACCTCGGCATAACAAGGTTCGTACTCGACCTTGGTTAAGAAAATGTAATCTCAAGGTTCGGACTCGACCTCGGCATAAAAAGGTTCGAATTCGACCTTGGTTTAGAAAATGCAATCTCGAGGTTCGGACTCGACCTCGGCATAACAAGGTTCGTACTCGACCTTGGTTAAGAAAATGTAATCTCAAGGTTCGGACTCGACCT